GCTTATATAAGTCTAGAGTTTGTAGAACCTGTTCTATGGCCCACTTTTAAACCTTCCCCTGAATGATATTTTTTCTAAAGCAATTAATAGCCATTTCCCAAAGTTACTTTGATTTTCCTATATTGATACATTGACCAGGAGGCCCTTAACAAGGTTTGGGGTGGGTGGAAAGATGGGGAACAGAAGAACAAACAAAGCTCTTACAAGTGAGTATAGGGTTAAATACAGGTGGACAACCCCACATTATTAGAAGCATACCTAAGGGCACAATATCCAATAAAATTGCCATGAGAGCATAGAGAATAAGACACACAGAGGCAAGCTACCTAATGATAATAGTATCAGCATACCAGGAATGCCTCATGGTCCTCAGTCTATAAGCACCAATATATACAAAATATAAACAGCCTCAAAAGGACATGAACCAAACTGATGGAGGTGAAAGGAGAAAACACCAACCCACCCCCTTTGAACAAATAATAGAATTATTAGGCAGAAACTCAACAAGGATTCAGAAGATCTATCTGAATCACACAATAGAAATAATAGAATCTAAATGACATGAACAGAAAAATGCATTCAACAGCACATTTACTTCTTCCTCATCCTCACCTTCTTCTCATGAACTAGCCAAAATAGAGTATCTCCTGGGCCATCAAGCAAACCTTAAGAAATTTAAAATAATTTAAAATATAGTGTATTTTTCTCAGAACATGAAGAAATCAACATGTAATCAATAGTATACAACCAAAAGAAAAATGTCTAAACACTTGAAAATTTTATTGATACCTATATTTGCAGGTCTTCATTAAGATTCTTAGTGTAGAAAAGTTGAGTTAAGAAAAGTTGCGTACAGGAGCTCATTCAAGATCACAACAATAACTTTTAAGCCACTTAAGATGAGAAAATGAAAGTCACCTTGGATATGTAAACAAACAAGGATTGAGGCAGGGAGATAGTTTAGGAAGCTACTAATTCAGTCCCACATGTCATTTAAAAATACTTTTATTGGGGACGGGCTCTTACATCTCCTATCACAATCCATGCATTCATCCATTGTGTCAAGCACATTTGCACATATACCGCCATCATCATTTTCAAAGCATTCTCTTCCCACTTGAGCCCCTGATATCAGCTCTCCATTTCTTTCCCATCCCTCCCCTCCCTCATGAATGCTTGATAAGTTAGAGATTAATTTTTCCATATCTTACATCGTCCTCTGTTGCACCTCACCCACTTTTCCATTATTCATCCCCCTGGGAAGGAGTTATATATTGATCCTTGTGATCAATTCCCCCTTTCTCTCCCCACCTTCCTCTATTCTTCCTGGTATCTCTACTCTCTTTGTTGGCCCTGAGGGGTTTATCTATCCTGGATTCCCTGTGCTGCAGTCTCTTCTCTGTAGCAGTGTTCATGCTCTGGTCTAATCTGATTTGTAAGGTAGAATTGAGGTCACGATAGTGGGAGAAGAAAGCACCAAAGAGCTAGAGGAAGGTTGTGTTTTTCATCGGTGCTATACTGTACCCTGACTGACTCATCTCCTTCCTATGACCCCTCTGTGAGGGAATGTCCAATTGTCCACGGATTGGCATTGGTTCTCCACTCCCTGACCCGCACCATTCACCTTGGGTATGGTTTTATTCTGGGTCTTAGATGTCTGATACCTGATCCCATTGACACCTCATTATCACATGGGCTGGTGTGCTTTTTCCATGTGGGCTTTGCTGCTTCTCAGCTAGGTGGCTGCTTGTTTATCTTCAAGCCTTTAAGATCCCCGATGCTATATCTTTTGGTAGCCGGGCACCATCAGCTTTCTTCACCACATTTGCTGATGCACACATTTTGTCTTCAGCGATCGTGTCGGGAAGGTGAGCTGCACAGAACGCTGGGTTGTTAGAACAAAGTGTTCTTGTGTTAAGGGAGTACTTGAGTTGAAGCCCAATGTCCATCTGCAAACTTAATTCTTAACATGTAGATATGAGTACATAGTTCTATTCCCCTTTCATTATATAATGTATATATATACATATACATATATATATATATAGTTTTATTCCCCTTTCATTATATAATGTATTTACATATGTACATGCCTGTATTTAGGCCTCTATAAATGCCCTTTGCCTCCTGGTTCTTTCCTCTATTTCCTTTTTACTTCCCTCTTGTCCCACCATCATGTTCGGCCTTCATTCTGGTTTATTAATTCCTTGCTGCTATATTGCCCTTGATTGAGTCCCATGAGGCATCCTATGATCTTCCTTCCATTGATTGTAGTTCACCTGTTGTTCCCTTGTCCCTCGGCTGGTCCCCCTCCCCATTTAGTTTCTCCCACCTTCCCATCTCCCGTATACCCCCAGAACCATTGGTCCTGTTCTTTTCATCTCTGAATTGTTTAACCCCGTCTATCTTATCTAGATAGACATGCAGATACATTAATAAGTGCAAAACCCAGGCAAATAAGAAAAACAAAGGAAGTAAAAAACAATAAGACAATAACAACAGCAGAAAGCAAGAACAAACTAACAATAACAAAAAGAAAGCCACTGACAAAAATGGAAAAGCATAAAAATAGTTCAAGGTCTGTTTGTTGGCCTTTAAAAGTGTTTTCCAGTCGAGTCTGATGGGGTCTCCCACTCTGTCTCCAAATCTATTTTGGCATTCCCCGGGAGTTTCATCACTCTTTTCCCCCTGCTCCTCTGCTGCATGCCCTCAGTACCTCGCCCCAGCGTGATGAGGCTATACCGTGCACTATTCCCGCACTGTGTCTCCAGTGATGCCCCCCGCAGCATCATGTGTCAGTTAGGGACGCCATGTTCCGGGGTGGGGCTAGCCCATGCGTTGTCTGTTCTGAGCTGGAACATCGTTTATGGGACTTGGTGTGCCAGGATGTCCTCTCCTCCCTCTCCATCCCTTTGCATTTCTCCCGTGTACTGTAATCAAACTCACCCCTCTCCACAAGCTGTAGCCCCAGTATTGTCCTCTGAAGTGCATTCTTCTGAGGGTGGGGTGTGTCCACATAGTTGGGATTGGGGCTAGCCCCGCAGACATCTCTTGGTTCCCTGGTACATGCCGGTATGTTGTATTCACGTCATGGCACATCGGGTTGAAGCCTGGTCTCTCTCTCCTTCTCCTGCCCACATGTCATTTAAACATGCACTGTACAGGCTGGGAAAGTATAGTGTCCTGGTTGCTAATGAAGTCATTTGGTGTCACTGGATTAGTGAGGTGTGAGAGGTTGCTTTCAAAATTTTGGTGTAGCCTTTAGAGAGTTGTGAGAAAAGCAAGATTAGGATACCTTCTTGGTGTATGGCTTGACTCCAGTATGAGTAATTGGGATTTATACCCTGATTCAATTGTTTTACAATGATTTTTCTTTAAAAAATCATCATAACTTTCATTTTATTAAGACATAATCCAGATATCATAGCATTCAATAATTCAGTCATATCTGTCAGTGTTGTACTATCACTACCACAATCATTTTCAAAACATTTTCTTCCTTCTTGTACTCCTTGATACCTACTCCTCATTATACGTCCTCCACAGCCATACCCCTAGAAAACCGTATTTTAGTTTCTGCCTCTATAGATTTGCCCAATCTGGGTTTCATATATAAAAAAGCATAGAAGGATGCTTAACAGAGAGCCAAGAATGCTACCAATAATAACAAAAAACAACAGAGATAAGTCCCAATCTGAACTAAAGAAACAAACTATTAAAAACCAGATTAACCTCAAAGTGTATCAAAGGGGAGATTAAATAACAAGATTTTAGCAATTCAAGTCAGATTTATCATCTTAATCTACTATTCTCATCTCTTTAGTACTCTGTCAGGTTGATTCCATGTGCAGACCTTGCGATTGTATTTTTTGGCTCCTATTTCATTCATAGCTTCCTGCAAACCAGAAATTCATAATTTAAGGTCTGATACCATTTCCTCCTTTTAATTTGGATTATGTCTTTTTCAATCCTTGGATCACAGATATTGCTGTGCTTCCTCCCTGTGGGGTTAGTTGACATCTCATTTAGATGGCTGCGTGTTTATAAAGAAGCCATTAAGACTCCAGTCATTATTCTCTCTACTTTGCTGTAGCACCCATATCTTCCATGTTTCCTTCATGAGGTCACAGATCGAGCAGGGCTTGTCATAAGAACCAATTGTTCTTATATTGGAGCCAGGATTAAGTGCAAAGTCAGAATCCATTCCTAAATCTGTTTTCTTTCTGCCTCGGGTTCACCTTAGAGATATCTTTGGTATTTCATGGTAGAGACACCCCAATTCTTTATAAACCCTGCACCTTTTTAAAAAGCAATGTTCAACAGAGTTACCACTTTTTTGATAATTTCTCTTCTGATGCCATCTGTCAGATAACATCTCATACCTAGATAGAGGAGTATGCTAACTGGTGTTTGTGATTTGTCCTCTAAGGCAGGCTGGTCCTTTGCTTGCCCTATCATGGTGTTAGATTAAAATGAGATACATGATATAGGAACCCTGATGCGTCTTCAAACTTGTATTTTTGTTCCCAATTTCAGAATGCAAGGAAAGATATAAATATCACAATCGTGCTGAGGGCAGCCTTTATTATGAGCGTTATAGATCTGCGCGTCAGCGCTCATGCCCCCAAGAGGATGATAGAATGGTGGCAACAAAGGATAGCCACAAGGAAATCCACGTAAGATGGTGAGTGACCAGGCATATTTGTTTTCATGTAGCAACCACTGGGACTATGCAATATTCTTTCTTTATGTTATGTTTTTCTTCCCCTACTTGAAAACTGAAGGGTGCTAGAAGTGGAATACTTGTTGATCAGTCATGATTGTATACCTGTTATCAGTGAGGTGAGAATGTGTATGAAGGATTCTTGGAATTTATGGGAACCTTCCTTTATCCACTCTCCCACAGTACTCCCTACAGCATCCACAGTCGAGTGGGATGGCGTAATAACCACTCTCTCCATAATACTGTGTGGAAAGATAGAAGACTCTCCCAAAGAGAAATGGACCAGAAGAAGGAGGAAAACTCCCAGAGCTGGTTTATTATCACAGTGAGTATCCTAGAAACATGTATGACTTATGCATGGAGAGGAGCCCTGATGGCATAGTGGTTATGCACTGGCATAGTGGTTATGCGCCGGGTTGCTAACTGCAAGGTCAACATTCAAAACAACCCGCCACTCATCTGGAGAAAGTTGAGGCATTCTACTCTTGTACACAGTTGCATTCTCAGAAATGCACAGGGGCAATTCTACTCTGTCCTATAGGGTCACTATGAGGAAAGAATTGACTAGATGGTCCAGAGTTTGGTTTTGAATTTTTATGCAAGGGGAAAGGTGTGTGTGTGTGGGTGGGTGAAGGGGGAGCTGCCTAGGTTGAGTTGTGCTGGTTTTGTGAAAGTATGTAGGAAATTTCCTGGGGACAGAAGGATTTGGTCATCTTTTCTCTTTATTATTCAGTTTTAAAATGTGGGATCTAAAGGGAGAAAAGGTGAGAGAGATGCCAGAACACATGTCTAAAGGTCAGGATTGGAATTACTCCCAAGGAGTTGGTGCAACTTGTCACAGCATGATTCAGGTTGGTTTAAATTTATTGTGTGAGTTGTTAGGCGAAGCTGAGTTTAGTCTAGAGTCCTCGACATGGAGCAGGGAAGCTCTGTGTTTAGTCGGATATCCTGGAATCTTCAAAAAGTAAGATGATGCCAAACATCTAAAGTTGATAATTTGGAGAGTGCTCAGAATTGTAAGAAAAATAAGAAATGTTAATGGTCCTTTTGTCAGAGTGTTTTAAAGCTCAAGAGAAGATCAGAACAAAACACTTGATTGGGTCTGTTTTCCAGCTGTAATTCCATGCTGCCATTCTTGGCTCCTAAACTTTGTTTTACTCTTAGGTTCTCTATGGGAGAAAGTATAACAAGACCTGGCTACTGAATTCCATCCAGAGGCATTGCAGTGTTCGCTTCACAGCGATTGACGTAAGATAGGCCGGTGAAGTCAGATGAGTGAGCACAGGGCAGGAATGTGATCTACATCATCAGGGTTCTGTAGCTTCTGACACTATTGTTGTTGCTTTTGCTCCCTCTAGTTCCACTATGTAAGAATGCATGCTCAATTCTTTGTCCGGAATTCTAGCACTGCAACTGCATTGAAGGATATTAACTACAAGATCTTGGATAATGAGAATCGAAGGGTGTGTGTTGTAAGAATTAACTGGGGACAGAAAGAGAGAGGAGGGGGCTAGACGTAGTCTGGGGACAGAAAGGGAGAGGGGCTCTAGACCATCTTCTGTGGATTAAAGACTCTGGTACTTACACTGCATCTCTTTCTGGTAGATATCTATCATTGTGAAGCCTTATTTTGCATGCAACTATGGACAGATTATGCTGACTTTAGAGCAAATAGAACAGCTAAAGGTAATTCACCCTCAGGACATGCTGTGCACTCATTTGTGGACTTATTTCTCCTTCACTTATTCCCAGTTCTCCATCATCATATCACCCCAAACACTTCAGAATAGCTATCTTTACCTCTGTCTCTGCAGCTGACCACGAAGAAACGATATGACATCTTCAAGAAAGCTCTGGATCTTCAGAAATTCCGATTTGACTCAGGTATGGGGGACAGCAATAATGTTAGGTATGTTAAGGCAGAGGGGAAGTCATAGAAGGGAGACTTGGGCATGGAAACTGGGAGAGGGGCTGGCACTGGTGTTGGTCCATCTCATTCTCCTCTTTTGCCTTCCTGAAGACTTGGTGGACCATGATATTGACATGATCCTGAATCGAAAAAGCTGCATGGCTGCCATTCTGAAGATCATTGAAGAGAATTTCTCTGAGGTGAGGCCTGAGGCCCGGTGCTGGTATTTAGGTAGAGGGTTGAGAGGATTGAGATGAGGGTATATTTGTCTCTGAGATCTTAGCTAGTATACGTAACTCTAACTCTTCTTCCTCAAAGCTGTTGTCCTTGAACTTGCGTGACAACAAACTGTACCAGTTGAATGGCTTGTCCGACATTATACAGAAGGCCCCTAATGTCAAGATCCTGAACCTTTCCAGAAATGAGGTAAGAAGTGGGATCCAGATCTAATTTGACTTGAAGGTGGGAGGCAGTGCTCATCTGGCTGATGACATGAGGCAGGGAGGTGTCTGTGGGTGAAAGCAAAGGCTGCAGGTACAGGGGTTCAGATATCACTCTGTCCCTGGAACTCTGACCCCTTCTATCCTCTCAATTTTCTCAGCTATTTTCCACATTTGAGTTGGAAAAGATAAAAGAGCTGAATCTGGAGGAGCTGTGGCTAAAAGGAAACCCATTATGTGACACCTTCTTCAATTGGTCCACCTATGTGAGGTCAGTGGGGAATCACAGGGTGAGCAAATGGTTAAGTCCTCGACTACTCTGCCAAAGGTTGGCAATTCAAGCACACAAAGTTACACCCCCAAAAGCTGACCTGGAAAACTGCTTCTTCAAGGTCACAGACCTGAGCACCCTTTGGATTACTGTTGAGTTACTCATGACTCAGAATGGACTCAACAGCAATAAGCAACAATGAAAAGCTGGCCTGCTCACTGCACCCAGCCTTCTCTAGAATGGTCTCCCCCAAATGTACTCCAGGAAGTCGGGATGAGGTTTCCTTCTCAAAACCAGACACACGCACACTGTGCTCTGAGGCTACTGGGACCAGATCCTGGTGCCCTGAACTAGGAAAGCTTCTCCAGACCAAAGATTCCTGCGGACACAGGCCTCCCTAACTCAGCCTTGAGAGGGCTTTCCTCCACTTCCTGTAGTATTCTTTCTCTCCTTTGTTTACAAAGGATTCTCTGACTTGTGTCAGGCCACTAATGGGGCTTATCTTTCTTATGCTTAGGGCTGAGGCTTTAGGGTAACTTTGTCATGCCATTATTTTCTCTTTCTCAATGCCAGGGTCTAGGATGTGCTGGGGGAGGAATCTAGGTTCTTAGAGTAGTGGATCACGTGCAGTGAGCAGAGCAGAGCCCAAATTATGGTGCAGAGCAGGTGCAAATTATGGAAAGCTGTAGACAGAGGTGAAGAGGAAACAGGGGACAGTTCTCTCAGGGGGCCTGGACTTCTCTCTCCCCCATGTCATGTCATCCTTCCTAGTCCTTTTGACAGACACTGGGCAGACCAAGATGGTCTGATTCCCCAGAGATGTGACTAACTTTGGAACTGTAGAACAGGTGCCATCAGACATAGTGGTGCTCAAGCTGGGCCAAAGACCTTCCATGCATTATGTGCTGCTTTCTGAACTTTTACTCCGTGGAAAAGTCTCCTGCCCCATGGCTGCTCCTTTTCCTATGCCCAGTTCAGATGGGATCACCCAAGAAACAAAGGCCAACAGGCTCCAGCCAAACAAGCATCTGTTTTCCATTCCTATCTTGGGCTCAGAGCCAGACAGTGGCAGATGAAGGGCAGAGTGGCGGCAGGAAAACCCTTTCCCCTTTCTTGCCTTCATTTCTCAAATATCCACCACCCACATGAAACGTCTCCCCCTTGCCTTTCCTTGGTTTCCTCTTTCTCTTTTTTCTCCACTCCTCTATATGACCCCCGTCTCTCCTACCTCCACTTCCATTCTGTCCTAATCCCCTTCCTGCCCTCTGAACCCGCCTGACTCATCTCCATGTCCAGGCATCCTAGAACACTCCTCACCAAGCACTGGACACCTGATGAAGTAGCAGCAGCCTGGGTTCCAGCCAGTGCTGGGATTCAAATAAATTAGGAGCTGGTTGGCTACCCTAATGCAGTTTTAAGTATATAAAAAAGATATACCAAAAGGTAGTTTATTACTTTACATTTACTGCCCACCTTAGAGAGAACCCTGATTACAAATGCCATTCTAGCAACTCTTTGATGGACTCAAGAAAAAAATCAGGTCTCCGTTCTGCTGAGCTGGTGCCAACCAGATGAATTCAGCCATTGGTTCCACTCCCATTTCCTCCTCCCTCTTGAGCTTTCCCTGGGGATTTGGAAGGAGGTAAGTAAAATTGGGAGGGAAAGGAATCTCAGACACCCGGTCTCCAGCATTCTGCTGCCTGTATCACTGAAGAAATGGAGTCAACGCTTTCCCTTTGGTAGTTGCCAAGGAGGAGAGAGAAGGGGAAAGGAAGATGGGGGGAGAGATGGAGAGGCTGTACCCATCATACAGTCCATGTGGAGGATTCCCAGTGCTCTACCAGGAATATGGACCTGAGACCCCTGAACTCAGGCTGCGTGTGGGAGCTTTTAGGGGCTGCTTAATGGACAGGGCAATCTTGGCTTTATTTATGGCATTATTGTGTTATCTCAAAGCAAGCAGACCGATGCTGTACAGTCAATAACTTTTTTCTCTTTCTGTCTTTGGACAGTGCCATCAGGGATATTTTCCCCAAGTTGTTATATCTGGTAAGTGCTTACCTTCATTATTGCCCCACTCACCACATTGATGGCCTGCACACCTGCCCTCAAGTTCTTTGTATCATCCCCAGGTTATATTTTTGCATTACACGCTTACCTGTTTTATAAGATATGGATTCCTGACAAGTCATGGCTCTTCTTCCTTTTAAAAGGTCCCTAAAAATATGCTCATATGCATTGCCTGTAATAACTGAGGCTTCTAGGCCCCATGGAAAAGACATCAACTTTAATATGGCTCATAGACTTTTCCAGGCCAATTCACACTTGACCCTTAACCCTCCCTATCTCCTGGTTGCCTTCATCTCATTGTTCACCCAGTGGGACCTTGCCTTGCCTGCACTGTATTCGCTGTTAAACTTGATCATTCCCAGGATGGGAAGGCTTTATCACCGCCACCAGCACCACCGGCACCACCGGCACCACCGGTACCACCGAAACCACCAGCACCACCAGTACCACCAGCACCAGTTTCTGCTGAAATGGTTATCTCTGAGATAATGAACCCATATAAGGTGAGTTGGAGATACCAAGCAAGATGTGGCATGTTGCGTAGAAGATTCTGTCCGCTGCAGTGTCTCATATAGTCGTTTCTTTCCAGGAGACCTATAAAGGGACTGAAGCCTTGAAGAATTTTATTTTGCAATTCTTACGGGAGTAAGTACTCCTTGGCACCTCAAGTCAGAATTGATGCTTATGGGACAGGCCACCCAGGCACAAGACATGCTCATGGGAACTTTCAAATCCACTTAGGGGCTCGGACCACAGCAATCTTGTCTCCTTTGTTTCCCCACAGGTATTATTGGATCTATGACTACGGTGACAGAAAGGGTCTCATGGGTGCTTACCATGACGAGGCCTGCTTCTCATTGACCACTCCCTTCAACCCTGAGGAGCCAGCTCCGTGAGTATCACAGATTGAATGACAACTCTGGGGGCTGTGGTGCAGACCCTGACCACTCATCCACCTCCTGTTCAAATTTTGATCCTAGAAGTAGTTTGAGCAAGTACCACGAGATTAGCAGAAATAGGAAGAAACACAAGGATCCCAGTAAGTATGTGAGGAAGAAGAGTGTGTGGAACACAATGTCTGGAGACGTGGTTGTAGGGACTGGGTGAATGAGGCAGCCCCTAACCTTCTTTTTTCTTCCCCACAGTCTTGCTGGCTCAGTTGCTGAAACGCACAAAACAGGATATTGGTAACTACTTCACTATGTTGCCCAAGACCCAGCATGACTTCAACTCTTTTGTGGTGGACCTGTTTGTCCAGACGGTGAGCACCTACTTAATCCCCGAGGCTGTCCCAGAGATTGGACGCGAGTGAAAAATAGAGGGGGAGCCTGGAACCTGAGCTGTTTTTCTCCCTCAGGAAAAGATGCTCTGCTTTTCTGTTAATGGGCTGTTCAAGAATGGTGAGTCCATACCTCATACCCACGAGTCAGCTTTGACTCAGTGGTAGTGAGTTTTATTTTGGTTTTCTGAATATGAAGGTTAGACTATCTAGCTCCTCCACCCCCACACTGCCCCCTCTCAAAACTCTTCAGCCTTTCCCAATCTCTTTTCTTCCTGTTCTTCAGCTCTCAGCCTGCCCCCAATCTACCCTTGCCTGTCATGGCTGTCCCAACACAGCCTGGGTGTTCTGGACACAGGCTGTGGAGTCTGATGATTATCCTCCCCATTCCTCACTCTGCCACCTTAGGACATGTGGCTCCCTCACTCTGCCACTTTGGGACATTTGATTAACCCCCAAGTGTCCTCATTTGCAAAATAAGTTGAGTAATCCAGACATTTTTGGCTGCTGTGAAAAACAAGGCAAATGAACTTGTGAAGATATTGTCACAGGGCACAACACAGAGTCAGAGTTCCATCACTGGGAGGTGCTTATTCATATTGTTTCCCTCCCCATTGCTGACCCTTCCCAGACTCCCAATGTAGAGTTGTCCTCAGTGTGGTCCCCTTCAGAGGACCATGGTACAATAAGCTTCTGAGTGGGGAATATTGCTGGTGAGCGTGTAAAATATGGACAACTCTGAGGGGTATTGTTGTTTGTTGTCATTGAAGTGGAAGAAATGTCTCAGGCTGGTGTCTGTGCATTCACCCGGGTCTTCATTGTTGTTCCTGCCAGCAACTCCTGGTAAGTGCTATGCTGTAGGTATCATGTAGGAATACACATCTCAGTTTGTGGCCAGTGGGGTTGGAAGGTGACTGCAGTTCTCAGAGTTTCCCCAATATTGCAGACTGTCCAAAGGTATGTCCACAAAGCAGCTTAGCCATTGGAATAGCAAGTTCTCATCCTGACTTGGTGAAGGTACATATTCTAGGTGATCTATTGTCCTCCTCTGAATATGAAGGAGCCCTGGTGGTGTAGTGGTTACGCATTGGGCTGTGATCTGTATGGTCAGCAGTTGGAAACCACCTGCAGCTCCAAGGGAGAAAGACTCTACTCCCGTGAATAATTAGTCTTGGAAACCCACAGGGAGATCCCTACGAGTCAGCAGGTGGTAGTGAGTGTGGTTTTGATTTTCTGAATATGAAGGTGAAACTCTCTACCTCCTTGTTTTCTTATACTTGGTAAAGGTGGGTGTGAAACTATTTCTGGGTTGTGGGTAAACTTACAAACCTAGGGAAGCTGGCAGATAATTTCTCTGAAGGCTACTTCAGTGGGAGGGGAAAGGGTACTGTTGCCAAAGAACCTGGGAGGCATGCAGAGTAAAGGTTGGAGAGAAGGTAGTTGCTGAGTGGGTGCAGGATTGTTGTTGGGTGTAGGGTTGTTTGTGGGGGGTTTTCCTGTTCATCTGTTTGAGAGCACATTCTTTCCCCAGCATGTGTATTGTGAATGACCAGCTGTTTGTAAGGGAAACTGGTCCCAAAGAGATCCAGGGAGCCGTCACCACAGTGCCTGCAGCCTTCTCCAGCTCCGTGGCCACTGTGCCCCAGAATCAGCAGGAAATGGTGCAGGCATTCGCCATTGAGTCTGGAATGTACTTGCAGTGGTCTTGGAAGTAAGTGTTGGGAGTGTGCATGGATGGGGGCAAACTCAGCAGAGCTGGGGAGTTCACAATAATGGGAACTTGAAGATAATATTGAAAAAGAAACCTCCCCCCAACTACCAGGACCCCAGTTTCGCCTTGCAGACCTGGTTAGACCAGAAGATGCACAGCGGTACAGATGGGAATTGGAAGCGCAGGGAATCTAGGACGGAAGAACCTCTCAGGACCGGGGGTGACAGTGCGATACCAGGAGGGAAAGGGGAGGTAGTAAGGGGGAATGGATCACAGGGAGCCACATATGGCCTCCTCTCTGGGGGACGGGCAGCAGCGGGGTGGGTGAGGGGAGGCGCCGGACAGTGTAATATAAGATACAATAATAATTTATAAATTATTAAGGGTGCATGGGGGAAAGGGGAGTAGGAAGGGAAGGGGAGGGGGGGAAAAAAAAAAAGGAAAATGAGCGGATTCCGGGAACCCAAGAGGCAAGAGAATTTTGGGAATGATGAGGGCAACAAATGTATAGATGTGCTTTACACAATTGATCTATGTATTGTGATGAATTGTATGAGCCCCAATAAATTGATTAATAAAAAAAATATATTGAAAAAGAAACCTTTGCATTTTGCTTCTGAAAAGGCATATAAAATTAATCTAATATTACATCAAAAGATGTAAAGAATATTCTAAACAACACATGCCCAGATATCATATTATACCTGAAAAATCTTAAAAGTATTAGAACTAATAAATAATTTCAGCAACTTCTCAGGATGCAAGTTAAATATACAAAAAAAATATGTTTCTATGTATGTCCAATGAATAATCCAAAATGAAATTAACAAAGTGATTTCATGTATAAAAAAGCATAAAAACATAGTGTTTTACCAATTAAAATTACCCATTTGAACAAATAATACAAAAAATGAAAAATACCCTCCCTTATGAACCATCTTGTCCAAGAAAAAAAAGTAAGGTGAACTGAACATTTATTTTCAAAGTACAAAATTACAGAAATATAGCTGTGGTAGCTATATAATTGTTTGTCAATTTGAGATGATTAAGCATGAAGGGGTGGAGTATAGCCTGACTTTTCCTCAGTTGTGCAGCGATCAGTTGTTGGATTAGAGAATTCGAGATTTTAAAAAGAAGAAAGAAAAGAAAATTGTTCAAAAGTGCTATTTCTTGGAGAAAAAAATCAAATAGACTAGCATTTTTATTTAAGTTCTATTGTTTTAAATATTATTCTAAACCAATAATGGGAGTTTGTCACATATTATGCATTGGTTTTCAGTTTCATAGCTTTCTTTATGTTATGCTGGGCATATTATAAATTGTGATTTATTTACAAAATTAATATTTTTTTGTTTAACGTGCAAGTGTTAACTTTAGCATTGTTAATATGATACTAACAAATAATATTTAAAATTATTGTTTTAATATCAAAGTTATGTGCTAAAATAAAAAAATTATATTTAGGAACAACACTTAAAAAAAACCAACCCAAAACCACATAGCTCCCTGCTATTGAAGTCAATTCTGACGCACAGTAATCCTATAGGACAGGGTGGAACTGCTCACTGTGGGTTTTGGCCACTGCAAATCTTTACAGGAACAGAAAGATGGATTTTTCTTCTTCAGAGGGGCTGGTGGTTCCAAACTGCTGACCTTTTAGTTAGTAGCTCAACACATAGCCCACTATGCCACCAGGGCTCCTTCAACAAAGAAGTGCAAAATTTATACTCTAACATCTGTATAATATTGTTTAAATAACTTAAAACTTAAAATAACTTAAAATAAAGAGCTTAATAAGTGGAAAGATATTCTGCCTTCATTCTCATGGATTGAAAGATTTAGCTTTTTGATTTTTTTAAATTGTGAATTAGATGGGAGGGGATTACATGTCAGACCATAGTTCAACAGTTCAAACCACTCATGAAACATTCTGCATTCAACAGTTCAAACCACTCTTCAAACATCCCCCCCACCCCCGCCCTGCCCTCTACCCCATCCCCATGCCCTGATTTCTCTTCTCCCTTTTATGGATCTCAATTTCCCCTTTATTCCAAGTCAGTATCTGGTAACCATCAGGTCCACTGCTTCATTTTCCCACCCTTACTCTCCCTCTCTTGGCAACCTCCAAAGTCTGCTCCCTCTGGTATGCAAGTCTTTGTCTTGAATTTTGTCCTTAGAGTAGTGGACTCATACAACATTTGTACTTTCGTGATTCACTAAATTCATTCAGCATGATATTCTCCAGGTCCATTCATGTCATGAGGTGTTTCGTGGTTTCATCATTGTTTTATAGTATTCCATTAAGTTTATGCCCCAGTTTCTTTATCGATTCTACTACTGCTGGACATTTGGGTTGTTCCCAACTTTTTGCTCTTGTGAATAGTGCTGCAGTGAACATGAGCTCCTCATTTTCCCCCCTTCCTCCTTCACTTTCCCTCCATCATGTCAATAGAATTTTTTTGTGTGCTGATCTTTCACTCTGCCATGTTGCCAAATCTTTCCATTGTTTTCAACCTTTTATTTTTTGGTTGAATTATTGGGGTTTCTACATGTAAAGGCATATCATCTGTTCATGTACAAATAGTGAGAGTTTCACCACTTCTTTTTGCCCATTTGGATTCCTTTGATTTCTTTTGTTGTCTAATGGTTCTGGCTAAGAGCAATGTACAATGCTGAATAAGAGTGGAGATTCTGGTTCTTGTTTTTGGGGGAACTGGATGAATAGTTGCTTAGTGTTATATCATAGGAGATTGGGAAGGGAGCGGATGGTAGTGGAATGAGAGCTAATTATAATGAATACAAGATAGAAGAAAGTGTTCTAAAATTGATTATGGTGATGATTGCACAACCCTTTTTAATATGTTTCAACTATTGTATGACATGTCAATAAAACATAATTTTTCGAAATTAAATTTAGTACATTGAATTAATCCAAAGAAGACTTGAAAATATGAAATACATGGAAATTAGAAAGCACTATTCATAAGGTAATGGGTCAAGGAAGAAATCAAGAATAAAAATTTTTAAATGCTGAGAGTGAAATAAAGACATAGCATACCAAACTTTTTGGGCTGTGGCAAAGTAGTCATGAGAGATAAATTTATTGCAATTAATGCCTACATCAAAAAGGAAGAAGGATCTCAAATCTATAGTATAATCCTACAAGTTGAGGAAATGAAAACTGAGCCCTGAGCTATCAGTAGAAATGAAATAATAAAGATCAGAGCAGAAATAAATAAAATAGTAGAATAGAAAGATTTCTTTTAAATATTGATTCTGCGAAAAGTCCAACAAAATTGGCAAAACTCTACCTAAACTAACAAAGAAAAGAATGAGAGGGTTCAAGGGAACAAAATAAGAAATGAAATTAGAAGATTACAAGTTGATCAGAAATTAAATGGCTCATTACAGAATACTATGAAACGCTGTACTCCAAGTTGTTAACTAACTTAGATGAAATACAACAAAGCAAGGGAGATAAATAAAAGATATCCAAATTGACAAAGAACAAATTAAACTATCTCTATTTGCAGATGACAGGATTTTTCCTACATGTAGAGAATCCCAAAGAATCCACAGGAAAGCTTCTAGAACTAATGGAAGACTTCAGCAAAGTTTCAGGGTAAAAGAGCTATACCCCAAAAGCTATAGAGTTTCTATACACCAGAAATGAGAATTCTAAAAAGGAAATAAAATATCATTTCCATTTCCATCTAAATTAGCATTGAAATTAATAATACACTGAAAAATAACAAACAGGGGTGTAAAGGATTCATACAATAAAATGATAAACACTGCTGCAAGATGCTAAAAAAATCTGAATAAATAGAAATATAGTCCTTGTTCATGAATTGGGAAACTTAATTTGTGAAAATGTTAACACCACCCAGCATGATCTAGAAAGGCAACATTATCTATATCAACAGTTCAGCAACATTTTTTTACAGAGATGGAAAAAATTAATATTTGACTTTATATAAGAAGGCAAGTGCCCCCAGTATTCAAAACAACTTTGAAGAAGAACAAAGCACGAGGCTTCACACCTCCTGATTTTAAAACCTTCTGTACGGTCAATAATCACAATAACTTTGCATTGGTTTAATGATAGACAGATAGACCAATGGAACCGAATTGAAAACCCAGAAATAAATCTGTATGTCTATGATCAATTGGCTTTCAGTAAATGTGCAAATTCCATTCCACAGGGAAAGAACTGTTTCTTCAACTAATGTAGTATGCTATCCTATCCGAGTCTATCCCTAATCATAGGACAGTCTATTCCTACCTTTAGGCCAGAAGAGAACTTCCTCATTAAGTTTCCTCAGCTGAGTTTATCCCCAAACCATTTTATTAGAGCTAATCCAGACATCATACAATTCCATAGTTCAATCAGTGTTGTACAGTCCCTACCATAATCAATTTCAAAACATTTCCTGCCTTCTTGAACTTCTTTATGTCAGCTCCTCTTACTCATCCCCACCTCCAAGCCAGACCCTCCACGAACCCTTACTCTAGTTATTGCCTCTATAGATTCACCCAACCTGGGTTTCATATACCTAAATACATAGAAAAACACATAACAGAGAGTAAAGAAGGCTTTCAACAATGACAAAATACAAGAGACAAACTCCAATAGGCAAAAAAAGATCAAGCACAGAGTGTATCAAAAGGTTGATCAAGTGACAAGGTTAGAACCATTCAAGTCAGGTTTATCATTTTAATCTACTATAGTTGCTCCAGTACTCTGTCTGATAACTAGATCATTCCCATCGTTGACTGTGATTAGAGGGAAATCACTGGAGGCTTATTCCTTCTGTAAATTCTGCAAATATATTTTGGGTTTTCTGATGTCATCCAGCCTTTTGTACACCAGATTCTCACAATTTAAGCTCTGATAATTTACAATCCTTGTATCACAAAACCAAGCCTTTAAGACTCCAGATGCTATTCTTTTTGATAGCCGGGTATCATCTAGTTTCTTCACCACACTTCACTATAGCACCCATATCTTCTGTTTCCTTCATAGGGCAAGTATCACGCAGGGCCCTGTTGTAAGTAATAATCCAAAATTCATTCCTGATTCTAAATTTTGTTATCTGTCTCTGGTTCACCTTCTGTTTATAGTGTCACTGAGTAGCCCATGGTACTAATTTTAAAACATTATTAAGAGAAGGAGAAGGATGTAGGCTAACTACATATTGCAATACATGGATTATTCCCTTGTACAGAATAAGTCCTTGCATGACTGGATTTGCACAAACAGTGGTAATTTGTGGTTAACTTACTATTATACTCACTGACAATGTCATGCACAGGTCTGCCAGAATAATACATATCTTAATATAGCAAGTAGGGCATTGAAGTAGTAAGTAAATGTCAGTCTGCCTAGTGACAGTTCAATACTCTTGGTATAGCTGTCTTCTACTTCTTCACATACCAAGTTTCAGTCTTAAGTCCTCATGTTATAGGTGCATTTGAGGTAGAGACTAGTTCATTTTGAGCAGTTCCCATATTGCATTCCTCTGGTGTGACCTTTGGAGAGAGTTGTGCACCTCAAAGATCCAGGATATAATGTTCCGATGTTCTATGACACATGGTCTAGGTCTCCCAGGGGGTGCACAGAAACTCAGACCAATGTGGCTTCTTAGGAGCATAGTACCAGGCATACTCCTCCCTAAGGGTCCTAGCACTAGCAATGTATAGGAGTTCTGATCCTCCTGTATCGTCTCCAACATTTGTTATTTTCATTGCTTACTATTGCCATATAAGGAGTTGAAGCTGTATCTCATTTGATTTGTAGCTCTCTAGTGGCTCATGAAGTAAAGAAAAGAAAGAAAATAACAAATGTTGGAGAGGTTATGGAAAAATTAGAAATCCTATCCTATGCTAGGAGGAATGAAAAATGATACAACTGTTGGGGATAACAGAATGATTCCTTAAATTAAAATAAAAATGGAATAACCACATGGCCCAGAAATTTGACTCCTAGATACATACCACAGAAGCCTAAGAGTAGTGACACGAATGGACATGTACAGCTATTTTCATTTTAGAACTACTCACAGTAGCAAAAAGGTAGAAAAAAGTACCAGCTATTTTTAACAGAAAAGTGAATAAGCAAACGTGGCACACACATACAATGGGACATTTCTCAGCCATAAAGTAAAATGAAGTCTCCATACATGCGATAATATGGGTAAGCCTTGCAGACATGCTGAGTGATCTGAGTGAATTGCAAAAGATAACTATGGTATGATCTCTCAGTAATATATTTGTATTAAGCTCCTTAGGGTGCTTTCAAAAGTAAAGAATACATTTGGTGCCTTGGGGAAAATGTTTGTATGAATTGATGACTAAAATAAAAATTTTAAAACAAAACTCACATCAATGAAGTTTTATAATAAATTTACTGGAATGCTGCCCCACAGAAAACACGTTTTTAAATGGATCACCATTTTAAGATGGATCACCATTTTAAGAAAACTTGGGAAGTCTTAAAATATAAGCCAAGAGACAGTGCATTGTCAACTTTGATGAATCTGTGACTGGTGGCAAACGACCTTACAATTATCGCTATTAAGGTTTCACATGGCTCAGCATTGTGTTAGTTTGGAGAAACAAATTCATGAAAATGCATAAGTGCATAAGAGAGTTTTATATAAAGAGCAATTGTACAGTAAGAAAGTATCTCAACCTAGTCCAGTTCATGCCCATAAATCCAATATTAGCCCATATGTCTGATACCAACTCTTCAGACTCACGAAACACATGCAATAATGCCGAATGCAGGATGATCACAGGCCAGTGGGTAGAAAGTTTTGGATCCAGTGGCGGTATTAGCCTCTCAGTGCTGGCAGGGGTCTCCACACGTGACTTCTGCAGTTCCCAGGGCACGGGGTCTATTAGCATGGTGCCATGTGTCTTGTCAGTAGTCTCCAAGGGAATCAACAGAGAGAGAGAGAGTGTGTCTCCCACCTCCAAGGCGGAAATACTAGAGTTTTCCCAGAATCCTCAGGGGAAGACCATGCCCACAGAGGCCTCATTGGCTGTGACCTGATTGACAGACTTGACTCCACTTCTTCCCTCGTAATCCTCTCAAGTCCCAAATCGACACCAGATTATGTAACTACCACAAGTGTTTTAAGCAAACATCTTGGCGTCAGCATGCTTTGGGATCTATGGGTGACAAAAGTGCTGCTCATTGATCAGCTACTTCAAAGGGCTGACATTTCCATTAGTCTTTTAAGCAAGATTGAAACTAATGAAGATGATTTTTTGCGGACGTAATTGCAGGTGAGTCATGGACTTACCGATATGATCCGCAAAGTCTAGTGAAAACCATGGCTTCTGCGGGGATCTGCTGGGCCAGTGAAATTCAGAGGAGAGAGGACAGCTAAGAAGATTATAGCGACTCTTTTGGTGGGTTTCATAAATAATCGTGTTGATAGATTTTTTGTAAGGACACAAGAAGACCGTAGAGGCTTGTTATCATGAAGGTTTCAGATGATGGAAAATTGCATTGCTGAGTCAAAGGTCAGGAAAGTTGCACTGCGGAATGTATTTTTTTTGTCATCATGACAATGCACCTGCTCATTCGCCTAAGCAAATAGGGGCTGTCCTACAAGAATTTCCTTGGGAAACCTTACTTCATATACCCTAAAGCCCTGGCCTTGTCCGTTCAGACTTATTTTTGCTCTTAAAATCTGAAGAACACTTAAAAGGAAAACTATTTGATTCCCTCAGGGATGCCCAGGATGCTATTTTGATATGGTGTAAACCACAGCATGCAACGTTCTTCGTGGAAGGGTTGAAGAGATGGAAATATAGCCTTTAGAACTACTACATCTTAGATGGAGGCCATCTTGAGAAACAACAACGACATTTAAAAAAATTATGATTTTGTAGAAATAAGTTTTGACTCCCTCTAGCAAATCTTCATACTTATGATCAATTAATTTTCTACACAGGTGCCAGAAAAGTTAAACTAACAGTGCTGGAACACGTGAATATCCAATCACAAAAGAATGTATTTGTACCTCCATCTTACATCATAATTGAAAAAGGACTCAAAATGGATCAAAGGCCATTTTTCACATGGTTTTCATCCTTACACACAGTTTTCAATCTCACACATGTGTCCCAGCTTTAAAAAAATAGCATAGATTTAGTGGTGGCAATACAGAAATAGAGTATCTGCACTCCGGAATTAATGCAGATCACTTGTTCTTTTTCGTTCCAGGTGTCTGGATGACAATAATTGGGACTATACCAAAGCTAAACAGATTTTCTGGGCACTCAAGGTGAGGTCTGACAACTGAGTGGATAAAAGATGCATGTTTCTGAGGCTGCAGGAAGGGCGGAAGGTGGAGGTAATGTGGCCCTGAGATGGAACTCAGGGCCTCTGGCTCTTCCTCCTAACGACTTCTCTTCTCTTCCTCCAGATGGAGGGCAAGATTCCAGAAGAGGCCTTCCAACAAAACTCCTAAAAGGATTTTATGTATTCTTTCTTTGTGTTCATTCATAGCATTTTTGTTTCTCCCCTCCATTCTGAGGCCCTACCTATAAATGGGGTCATAGGATAGGCTAATCAAAAAGTCAAAGGTAACCTGTAGGCCTTCCCTGAACCACTCAAAGGACCAGTTATTCTGTGTATTTTCCCCACTCGTGATCCTTGATTATTTGCATAATAAAGAGTGAAGGTTCCGATCATATGTTGCATGGTGTGGATTGCTTTTTCCTTGCTCCAGCCACAATGGCCAGGGCTGAAAGATTCCACCTACCTACTTAATCTTAACAGTTCCTTGCAGGCTCATCAGGCTTGCCTTCTTAGGTGGGTTGTCCGTGGGAGAACACGCACTGCTTCTGAGGATTGGCATTTGGAGAGAGAGTGCAACCCAATCAGAAGTTGTGTTTGGAAATGGTATGTTACCTGACACAACAGGGGCTCTGTAAAGGATACTCACTGGAAAAGGAGGGCAGTGAAAGGAAGAGAGGTGGGGACTCACAGTTTTTAGTTTAATTTTTTACATTTTGAATTAAAATTTAATTTTATTTCCAGAACAGGCATCATTTTGCATATATGAAATGCATGTATCATGTTAGTGTCTTCAATAAAATAAAAAGCAATTACATACTACATATATATTTAACATGAAAGTTCAATTCTTAAAATCTTAAATATTTGTAACTTAAGTTATTTAGTTTAAACTTTATATTCAGTCAAGATGAGCATTAAATCTATTAAAACAAATATAGCCCTAATTAAGTTCTTCTTTTATGCTTTCTCGAGTTTTTATTTTTTAATGTTCTCCCAATAGTTTCATTGTGTTAAAATTCACTTCCATGGTTAAGTCATATTTAAAGAGTTGTGTATACATCACCACAATCAGTCCCGGTGAAACTTCCCTTCTCCAGTATTCACCATTTTCTTCCTAATTCCCCTCAACTATCCCCACCACCCTCCTATCCCCGACAAGCCATTATATCAATTATTGTCTCTATGCTGTCAGCAATTCTGTGCAGTATATACTGGGAAATATGCCAAAGACCAAAATAATAATAATAATAATAAGAAGAAAAGCAGAGACCACCAGCAATATTTTAAAAAGGCAGAGAAAAATCTCTGTTGAGAAAAAAAATAGAGAAATATTTAGACCTAGAACAAATTCAGAATGGCTTGAGAGGGAGATCTGACTAGGTACCCTATTATAACGTAGTTCCATCCACCATAGACAGCTTTACAATAATCTGTCTGCTGGTAGGGCTATTTATGTCTCTTGATTGTGGTCAGATGGGATTTGCTGGAAGCTTAATTGGCATAGTTAGATTTGATGCTACCATTGTCCTCCACAGCTTTCAAAAAATTGGATGCTCCTAATTTGAGCTCTAATACTTTTCCCTCCATCGTATTTGGATTTTGTTCTTTGTCATCTTTGGGTCACATGGGCTGGTGTGCATCTTCCATGTGGACTTGGTTGACTCCTTACATAGATGGCTACTTTTTGAGCACACACCTTTAAGAGCCCAGACACTATTCTGATTGATAGCGAGCACCATCTGCTTTCTTCACCATATTTTACTGTAGGATTCATGTAGCACTTTTGAATTTTACTCATTCAATTTTTTTTCAAAGACCATCTCACGAATGCTTCTTTGATTTGCACACATGTGAGTGGGAAATTGACCTTTTACATCTCTCACCATGCTTCCACAAGTCTTCTCCACTGTACTCCCCTCTTCCCCTTTCTGAAGGTGTCCTCACCTTAGCACCTGCAGAATAAGAGAGAGTCCACGTGTCTGCCCAGTGGACTGAGAAATCTGACACCAGGTGCTCCGTTTTTCTTTCTTTATGGGATCCAGTCATTTATTTCCACTTCTAAACAAAAGTAGTATGATAAAATCTCACATAAATTCTGTGGGACCTTTCTCAAGGGCGATGAGCTGTTCACAATAGCAGGCAAACGTTGAACAGAACTCTTGCACAATTTATTTTCCCTACTTCTGTGATATTTGCACTTTAGACCAAAAACAGTCACACGTTCTTAAATAGAAATAATAGTAGGCCCTAAATTTCAAGTCACAATTCTGTAAGTGAGATACCATACATAGGTGAGGTACCACTGGTTTTCAAACTGCATAAGATTTTAATCTTGCAAAAGTTAATTCCCAGCACATGCGACCTTCATTTCTTTGTGTATGAGAACAATGGAGTTCAAATGTGCAGTGTGCATTTTTTCAAAATATGAGCTGAAGGAAGATTTGTCATTACATCAAGAACAATTCCAATCTTGTTCTTCCGTGTAGTGCCTCAGTAACCAAAGACAGAGTAACCTCTCTAAACCTTGCTTTCCTGCCTAGAAAGCAAAAACCACACTCTAGGTTTCATTGGAAGGAATAGAGACTGGATTAACTCTGGTCCTCTGAGGTTCTTGATTCTCATGTGGCAGGGACCATGGAAGCCACTGTCTGATGGGTCTTCCTCTCTGTACATGCTTGACTCCCTTCCCTAGGCAACACATACACTGCGGCCTTCCAGCCAACCACTCTCCTGCAAGTTTCTTTGGATCCACACTCCAGGCCAAATGATAATCTTGCAGCTTCTTCCTTACTCACATCTGTGTATATCTTGTCCTCTACTTCAAGTTGTCAGACGTGTAATTGCTGAAACAGAGTGTGTATCTGCCTTCCAAAATTATTGCTGGAATTGTGGGGCAATGAGTACTCTCCTACATTATTTCTGGGTTCTGTATTTCTGTATCAGTTTTTTAGCATCATTTAGGAAAAAAATTATTGATATATACATAAATTGCAGGCTGATGTGGTTTTTAAAATAATCAAATGTATAAATAACCACCACAATGAAAAAATAAACAAAAGCCAAGGAGCATATAGTACATTTACAACATTGTGCAATAATCACCTCTATTTAATTGCAAAATATTTCCATCACTTGAAAATAAAACTCCTACCTGCTCAGCAACTACCCCTCTCCCCCTTTTCCTAGTCCCAGGTTATTAGCATACTTATAATTATGATAGCTAGGATTTGTGTCACATTGGCCTCACCAGGATTCTCCATGGTTTGGTGATATGCCCTACATCAAAGTGTATAGGTCCATTCTGAAGAATTTTGCTTGGGAGTGTGGATTATTTGATATCTATAAAACAGACAGTGTGGAGAATTGGCTCTCTCACCTTCCTATGGGCCTGGATCCAAAGACTAGTCTTTTGGAATGTGTGCCAGCAAACCGCAATATTGCCTGCTGATCCTGGGGGCTTTCCATAGTCTGCCATAACTTCTAATCCACCCGTCTACCTACGCCTCCACTGTCCTCTCACTTTCTGACAACTTGGCTTGCTGATGTTCCAGCCCTATTGTAGTTAGGAAGACTCCAGAGAAATATTTGACAACCAAACTGAACTTAATCACTTCTACAATAGAGTGAACCATTTTATTTTATGTAAACCTATGTGTTATATATGCATGTGAACATCACTGGTTTTGCTGTTCTAGAGAACCCAGTCGAATACATTTGGCACCTGGGATGGTTCTAGAGAAAGAAAATCATAAAGATGGGCTTTATAAATTATTTTTCACATCTAAGTAGGCATAAAGACACTGATAACTCTGCCTCTGTCTTGATTAATACATATCATTATGCCACTGTTTGTAAAGAGGGCACTGTTAATCCATGGCATGAGGTAGCAATGTTAATATTTATAATACAACCACCAATAGATGAAGTATTCATGAGAAGTAAGGCTCTGAGTGATCATGTGATGTTTTTCAGCAATTTTATTAGGATGAGAAGTATAGGGAACCTGGTTGTCTCATACTACTTAAATAAAGTTGTAAAAGAAAGGCATGGCTCAAATACCACACCAAAGACAACTTTCACTTGTGCCATGATAGAAAGCCTGATCTCTTCTAGTAACAGAACTTATATTAACAAAAACAAACACAATATCATAAGACAGGCTAAATTGCAATGCCAGGTGAATTCTCTATCTAGAATGGTGCTGCTGTTTAAAGGGAAGGCAATGATTGGGAAGAAATGGGATCCTGAAATGTGGCATGGGGACATATGGGATGATAGTCAGGATATGGAGTCATTGAGCCTCTAGATTCTATTGAGCTACTCCAGTCAACAACTCACCTCTCCCATCTGAAGAGATTAATTTACTTTTAGGAATACCATTGTCTCTCCACCCACACATGATATTTGGCCCAATGGTGCATAAAGGATGACACTGTGGAGCATTTCCTGAGGCAGGTGCCTTACAAACCAATGCTGAAAGTTCCCAGGAAACCATATAATAGCAATATTAAAGATTCTAGACTTATAAGTAGACTAAAGTCAGAGTTCCCAAAGTGGAAACTCAGATGGCAACCCAGGAAGATGTACACTACACTGCTAAAGAATTGCTAGAATCCACCTACAGGCAACTGATCTACACAGGACTAAAGACTATCAAATGGGATAAGGACAGCCTTTTCATAAAACAGTCTTTGAAAAATTGGATCTCCATATGCAGAAGAATGAAATAGGATCCATAATGCTCCCCATGCACAAAACAAATTCAAGATGGATTGAAGACCCCAGAGCTGTAAGGATCATCAATGAGAAAATTGAAAGAAACTTAAGGGCCCTATTACAAAGAGTATGCAGACTACCAAGTATGATAAAGGAAGCACACACCACAGAAGGCAAAATAGATGACTGGGACTTACTAAAATGAAGCACTAATGCATACTAAAAGCCTTCATCAAAAGAATAAAACAAGAGCACATTGATTGAGAAAAATTATTAGCAATAACACAACAGATGAGGTGAAATTGCTAACATATACAGAATGCTACAACACCTCAATAAGAAAATAATACATGATCCAATTAAAAAAGTGGGCAAAATATAGGAACACAGAATTCACCAAAATGACATTCAAATGTCTAACAAACACATGGCATGATCACTGACCATCTGGGA